ATCTTCCGATGTTGAGTCTACACCGTGGAGACTTATAACGGAGAACATTTTATATTCGTGTGGTCATTTCTGTCTGTTTGAGATCGTTTAGTGTATTGGACTGAACAAGTATAACTATGATCACCTTAAATTGATAGCTTTTTTTAGAGAGTTTTTTTGCTATAGGGTGCATGCACTCGCTGGAGAGACCGAGAGATAGAAGAGAGAAATCAACACCCTGGGGGGATGGCCACGCCACAATTCCTTCTCTGTTCTTCTTTTGGGACTTTGGGCACACACACACATGCCCAGCTTGTTTCAAGCCACTGGGCCCAGGACTCGAACCATGGTCAGCCATGTGGGAATCCAGCAATGTAACCATTACGCCACCTACCGGTCCCTAACTTGATACTTTTAAAACAGTTATTTTAAGTAGCAGAACCTATCTCTCTCTCTCTCTTTTTTTTTTCCTCAAGAAAAATGTTATGTAGAACTCTCAACTATAAACATAAAATATATAAAACTGTGATAAAAGTATACTTTCTGGGTTAGCCCTATAGCGTAGTGGTTACGTGCTATGCATTGGGACCTGGATTCCACATGGCTGACCACAGTTCAAATCTAGACCCAGGACACTTTAAAAAACTCTCCAAGCATGTGTGCCTGCATCCCCAGAAACCCGGTGGGACAGAGAAACGGAGAAGGGATCGCCGTGTGATCACACCCTGTTGGGTGGCGTGCTTTCTCCCCCTCGCTCTGTCTGGTAAGCACGTGCACCCTCTGGCAGTTAAAAAAAATATTTTTTAAACTATAACTTGTGGGGGACCAGCAGTTAGCGTAATGGCTATGTCGCTGGACTCCCACATAGTCGACCGCGGTTCAAGTCCTGGACCCGGTGACTTAAACTCACACCGGGCGTGTGTGCGTGCGTGCCCAAGATCCCGAGAGGAGAATGGAGGAGAAGGGATTGTGGCGTGGCCATCCCCCTGGGGGGTGATTTCTCACTTTCTGTCTCTCTGTCTCTGTCTGTCTGTCTGGCGAGCGCACACGTCCTGTAGCAAAAACCTCTCCAAAACAAGGAAAGAAAAGGAAAAAAAAGTATAACTTCCGGCTGAATATGTGTAACCCTTTAGCTTCCCTGTCCCCTGCCTCGCCCACAGACACGTACGTCATCCCAGCAGCTTTGAAGACAGTTTTCAAATGATCTGGAACTTTGCTTTTTGAGAAGAAGCAACTTTATCGTAAACCATCAAATAACATTTATTTGGCGTGAGGAGAACTGCACATCCTATGCACATGGGGTATAGGCAGTGAAGCAGACTCCGTAGAAGCCCACTCTGAGGCCTGACAGTTAAGGAAGCTGCATCCTACTGATGGTAAAGTTCAAGTCCTGGACCTGGTGCCTTGAAAAACACTGGGCGTGTGTGCATGCATGCCTCAAATCCTGAAATGATAGAGAAAGAGGGACGGGATTGCAGTGTGACCGCACCCCATGGGGCGGGGGAGCGTTCTCCTTCTCCATCTCTGTCTTTCTGCCTCTTTCCTGCAAGTGTATGTGCTCTCTGGCAAATTAAAAGACTAAGCCTAAATTCTGGAATGAGGCAGACCTGGATTCTGTATAATTTCCAGAAATTTCTTTCAACCATACTTTCTTTATTTTTAAAATTGAGCTAATGGGAGTCAAAGGAGCAGTAAAATGTGGTGCTCTGCAAAGCAACCCCACCTGGGGGGGTTCTCAGTTCAAGTCCAGAGGCCTCCCTGATTATGCCTGGCACACGGGTGCGCCTTATCTGGGGCTGGCTGCAGGCTTGTTGAGACCCTGTGAGGGTTACTGTCTTTCCTTCTCTGTCCCACTCATAGGAGAAATAAGTAAATGCTCTCTTTGTTTTAGATTTTTGCTATAGGGCACGTGCAGTTGTTGGAGACACAGAAAGACAGAGAGAGAGAAAGTGAGAAATCACCCCCAAGGAGGGATAGCCATACTGCAGTCCCTTCTCTATTCTCCTCTCAGGATTTTGGGCACGCATGCACACCCCCGCTTGGTGTGTTTTAAGCCACCAGGTCTGGGACTCAAACCGCAGTCAACTATGAGGGAGTGCAGTGACATAACCATTACACCATCTGCCGGCCCTCTGTTTTTGTTTTTCAATTGAGATAATGACAGGGGCCAGTGGGTGGTGTCAAGGTTAAGGTGACTGGGTCCCGCATGGCTGATTGAGCCCTTTAAGCCCGGGACCCAGTAGCTTGAAAAACACACTGGGTGCATGTGCATGCGTGTCCAAAAATCCCAGGGAGAAGATGGAGGAAAAGGGATTGTGTCATGGCCATCCTGTGGGGAGTGACTTCTCAACTTTCTCTCTCTCTCGCTGTCTGTCTCTCTCCAGTGAGCACATGTGCCCTATAGCACACTAAACATTTAAGAATTTATTATTTATTTATTTATTTATTTTGAGAGGTTTTTGCTATAGGGCGCTTGCGCTCGCCAGAAAGACAAAGAGAGACATAGAGACAGAAAGCAAGAAGTCACCCCCCAGGGGGGATGGTCACGCCGCAATCCCCTCTCCTCCATTCTCCTCTCGGGATCTTGGGCACGCACGCACACGCTCCCA